TCAACTCCTCTCTGAACAAGGATGCGACCCGAAGAGCTGCGTACACCTCTTTGTTCTGTTTTGCAGCTGTAAAGCCCATCGCGAAGACCCCCTTCATTGAGTCGCGCAGAAGTCCTGGAGTCGTATTCACAGAGCTGAGGTTCGCTCGGGCCTCTTTCACAAGCACAAACGTGGAAGTCAGCGATCAGAGGTCTCTCTGCGTCTCCTTTTCTTTTCCTGCGTCCGACGGACTCCGTGCACCTGCAGAGGACATCAAAGAGCATTAGTCTTGTCCTCGAACAACCTCTGACCCCATGGGGCGCTTGCATTAATACATCGTCCTTTGACAAAGCCTGCCGATTACTGGCTGCTCTCTTTCTCTCTCTCTGCTTACGCCCTCCCTCCCGCAAAAAGCTTTTATTTCTTGAGGGATACAAAAGCTGTAATTGCTGCTGCTTTGAGATGAGGTGTCGATGGGAAGGGGATCTGCCATCAGGGTGAATTCTGTTAAATGTTTCTCTCTCCTCCCGTCTGTGGGGTCACCAGGATCGCTTGCTTTTCTCCAAATGGGCATTTTTGCTGGCAGGTGCATTACACCCCCTATTTTCAGATTGTCTTTCCTCTGCTAATGCCTGGCAGGTTGATTGCTCGGGTCTGGCTGGCGGAGAAAGGGCCGTGCTGCGTTCGGGCCCCGGACTGAAAGACACTGATTACTGTTTTCCTCTGAGCCTGATTGAGGCCCTTGAAAGGAAAGATTTTAACCTTCTCTCCTCTCTCCTTGCTGAGTACGGCCTGGCACGGCGAGATGGCCCGTGTCATCAGATAAACTCATCAGCGCGAACCCCCACCACCCCCTCTTCTCTCTCTCTTCAAACCCGGCCCTTCCTGAGAGAGCCGTGGACACATTTCTGATCTAAAATCTGACAGATGACTTTACCATTTTGATTATTGCAGGGCGATTTCACTCTCTATTGAAACAAGTTTTTCTGGTCATGCAAAGAAGCTGCCATTAACATGGGCGTACCACAAAACCTTCCTTTTGATTATCGAATATGACTCTTTGTGGGGGAATTATAATTATAATCGGTAACTATTTATTTTAAGGTGTCCTTGTTGCACGTTACATGTACTTACTATTATAATAACAATTAATTATGAATAATTACATACAAACCTAACCCTAAGCCAGACCCTAATCCTAACCCTAACCATATAGTAAGTACATGTAGTTAATTAATATTACTCAGTACTTATGTATAATTACACTGTAACAAGGACACCTTAAAATAAAGTGTAACCTTATAATCTACCCCCAAATTAAAATGATTTCATTATTTACTCATCCTCATGTTGTTGGATGAGATCATTGACGGATATCCTAGCGTAACGTAAACCATAAGTCTTTAGTTGTAGTGTAATATTCAAAGTGTTCTGAGGTCAGAGCTTTGTGTGAGGAAAATATTGAAAATCATTATTTTTCTGATACCATTTCCATTTGAAATAGACTACAGAAGTCATATTAACTTCAAAATGGTGCAAGTAGTTCTCACAGTCAAACAGGATTTGCGCCAATGCTGCCATATTCGATTTGAAAGCTGTGGTGGAGGAGAATATTTTCAGTGAATAGTGACTTGCATTACAGTCAGTTTCTCACATATGAGCTCATGTCTTGTAGGCAGAGTTCATCCAAAAATAAAAATTTGCTGCCCTCAGGCCATCCAAGATGTAGGGGACTTTTGTTCTTGAGTAGAACAGTAAAGAAGATTTTTAGATGTAACCGTTGTCCTTGGTGTTTCATAAAATGTAAGTCAGCGGCTAGAACTGCGCGATTAATCGAAAATAAATCCGAAATCATGATATGGCTTAGTGTGCAAAGCCATGTATATATGTAAAATATATATATATATATATATATATATATATATATACAGTGGGTACGGAAAGTATTCAGACCCCCTTACATTTTTCACTCTTTGTTATATTGCAGCCATTTGCTAAAATCATTTAAGTTATTTTTTTTTCCTCATT